TACCATGCACTAGAAGTATTGATGAAGCCTTCTATTGTGCATGGCTTATGCCCAAAACTAGTGCGTGTCGATATATCATTTTGTATTTGGTCACATAAATAAGTACCATATGCATGATGTCTGTTAATGTAAATGCCATTTGCCACCTTGGGTTGGGAGACTTAGAGTCTCCATTATCATTGATGCCTTTTAAGAAAGGTGCTTTTCTTTCACTGATAAGAATCTTGATCATTTCCCATTTAAGACTCTCAATTCTGCTTATAGATGCTCATCTCTCAGAAAGTTTATGCTCGGATTAGCCTAATCTTATTTAAATTAAAAGTTTATAGTACATAGACAAAAACCATACAGGTCATATTGATGGCCTTAAACTGTTCCCTCTTCTCTGTACCTATTTAGCAATAACATTCTTATTGTAGGTTTGTTCCAACTTAAAATGACATATCTGAATACTTTCCCTGCTAGCCTGGGAAGAAAGGATGTGTTTGTTGGCATTTGCGTGTTAGGGAGTATTCTGTGTGTCTTTACCCAAGGTATGCTTGGGTTCCCGTCAGCATCTCTGGTCTGTAGCACTGTAATCCCTATAGTGGCAGCCTCTGGTTTTTATTACTGCCAAGGAGTGTGCTGTGCAGACATAGGCCCCATAATAGGAAACACCTCAGCCTGTCATAAACAGGTCTGGAGAGTAGAAAGCACAGACCTGACAGGGATGTGTCCATAGCAACAGAGCCAAGATGACGTTGCCGTCGTGGAGTAAGTGCAGGCTGATATCTGTCATCTTCTTTCAGAGTATGACTGGCTGATGTCAGGCTGCCTTCTGTTGTTAGCATAGCAGTGTTTTGGTTGCTTTGTTTTTGTTTTAGATCTAAATAGGAATAAAGACATCTTCAATAATATTTTCCAAAATATTTTGAGAGGATATATCAAAATGTTTTCCTTTCGCTACTCTCCTTTAATTCTACCTGATCATTCCAAGCCAAACCCATTAGGAAGAAAGAACAGTATTTCATTATGGTGGGAAATTATTTTTTTTTAATTATACAAAAATCAAATTAGTACAAGTCTATTTAAAGAATTATAAATTATACTGAATTATACAGAATTACAAAGAAAAGAGCAATTTTTAATCAGGTGACTTTCTATTGTTTCTCCCTTTTCGTGAAATTCATGTTTTAGAAAAAGAGCATATTCTTTGACCAAGAAAGATTCCGTTTTACATTTGCTAGTTTTGTTTTGTTTTGTTAACTTCCAAAAAAAATGAACTATAACTTTAATGATGATGGGAATTGTCACAAGAATTTAGGAAGAGAATAAATTTCAAATTTGGAAAGGCTTAATGGTTTTTAATAAAGAGAGAGAATGCTTTTGTGGGTGCTTTAAATATATGTAGGTATCATTTCATTATTTGCAAGGAAGCCTTATTTCACAAAAGAGTTTAAAGACTGCAGAGGATGAAAAAAGCTATAATTCTATTAAAGGAGTACACAGAAATTAATATAAATTTAGAACTGAAGTCTCGAATGTTTTGTGTGTTTTTCAGAGATTTGCTCAGAGTCGTTTATAGATTTAGGTGCCAAGTGGATATTTGCTAACTTGCGCTTTCCCTTTTTTTAGTAAACACTGATCCTCCTCTATTTTTTTATTTTAAATATTTCAAGTCAGTTTCAATAGTATGCTCTGATGAGAATGAAACTCATTATCATCTTTGGTATAAATTCTGATTTTCTGTTTTTCTGTTTTCTTAATCTTATGTTCTCAGTATGGTATCTTAGATCCCCATAAGGGTAAGTGATAGTTGGGTTTCAAAAAACCATAGGGATGTTTTACTAGAAATATAATCATTTTGTTAATATATATCAGGAAAGACTAGATTACAGGAAGATACTCTTTGGACTAAATCTTGATTTTTCTATATAGTGTTAATGAATAATAAAATGACAAAAGGGCACATAGTAGAAGAGACAAAAAAGACAAAAACTTCAATCACTACAGACCAAATAATCAGTCTCAATATGAAAAGAACTTGTTTTCTCAAAATTAAAATTCAGTGGAAAAATTACTTGTTGCCTTAGCGTTATTTTCAAACATGTTCGTATTATCCATGTGGTACCTGTGCTCAGCCTTTGACAGCAGGCCAGGAAACACCAGTGTGTCCCTGACTTTCTCATGTAAGGTATGATCCTCCTGGTTTCCCATACCTCAAACCTTCAGCTTCAGCCTTGGTCCCAGGAACAGCACTCTACATGCCAAAACACGTTGTCCCATTTTTAAAGATGAAAAACTGATGCTCGGTTAAACTTGTCCAAGAGCCATCATAAATCATGCTTCCTAAATCATGTCAAGATTATTATTTTTCTGAATGTAGCATCTGGAAGGAGGACAGGGAGCTAGAAACACAAATTGTTTGTTCTCAGTCTGCATTTTCAAAATATGGCCTAATACATTTTTAATTTATTCGGTGAGCACTACATTCCAACATTGCAAGAGCAATTTCAGCAAACTGTAATTCCTAGAGGGGAGTCCTAGGACTTATTCCACCTTCCTTGTTCTCTGTGTCTTGTTGGGATGGAAGTAGAAAGGACCTCGCCCCTAGCTCCTAGGAAGAGTGTGATGGTGAGACAGCATGCTAGGTTGAGAATCAACTTAGCAGGCAGGGACTTAACAGGGTATAGACATAAACTGAAGAGTAATGGAGTCAGTGGGATGAGAAGACCAATTGATTGAAGAGATCTGAGATTCCAAGTTGACAGGGGACCTGAAGGGTGGCCAGGTAGAGTTGGACAAAATAAAGCTTGACTGATAGTGGGGAGGGGTGAGGCAGATAGGGAAGGTGTGGGATAAACTCAGGGAAGGCGTAAGCAGGTGTTGGGATTTTTTAAATGGCCTATTACTGTGGAATTGCCGTGGAGGTTTATTTTCTAAGTGGGGTGAGGAGGGAATATGGTCTCGTGGATAAAGTGAGAAATGAAGAGCGAAGGAAAGAAAGGTAGAGAGAAAGACATGTGAGACAGTGAGATGAGGAAGGGGAGGGGTGGACAGGGAGGACGGTCTGCCTGGGCTGGCCTGGGATCAGGGCTCTCCTTGGCTGAGGGCAGGCTGACCAGTGCATGGCCCTGCCCCCTCTCTACCTCAGGGTTCCGATGGTGAAATCTGGTTGGAATGAACCTTTGGGACAGCCTTGAAGAAAAAAAGAAATCCCCTGCTCTGTGTGAAGGTGTGAATATTTAAGGGAGGACAGTCAGCTGTGAGGAGGAGGGAGGTGGGGATATCTGACTGGAGAGAGGAGATTTATAGACAGAGTGTATTTCATGAGGCTTGAGTCTTTTTTAGCACCAATAGCTGGCATCACCTCCTTCACCTGTTGCCTCCTTGAGTCATGGCCCAGTGGCAGCATGGTTGGGTTATCACATCCAACTGCAGGGCCATCCCCTAAGGGACCTCTTGCCTGGGAGTGAGAACATGGGGCAGCAGGTTTTAAGCTGGATGAAGAGAGACTGTGTCAACATAAGGATAAGTTGATTCAAAGTGGAACAGAATAGCAAACAACAAATGTGGACCTTTATTTTGATTCTGCTTTAAATCTTCTCAATTCCAGTGAGCTTAACAATTCCTCTTCTGAATATCAATCCACCGCACACTGAATAATTAAATTGCCTCAACCTCTCTGAGTCTCTGTTTTCTCTGTAATTCAGGGCTAACAAAATCTATCTCACATGATTGTTACGAGAATTAAATGAAAACTTATGTCAAGTGCATTGTGTGGTGCACATACATAATAGGTGCTGTGGCCTTTCTTTATTAGGGATGGGAATTGGAACTATTTTTAAACTTAAAAGGTGAACTTCATATGGTGCCATATAGGTAACCTAATGCAGCTGGAGCTTGAATCAACAGGCCTGGATGACAGAGCCCACAGAGCGTGCCTTTGAAATCCTGATACCCAGTCATGGTGATTTATGGGACCTCACTAGCTTGCATATGTGATGGCCCACTGAGTTTGTTTACTTTAGTTTTAGTTCGGTTACCTAGCACTCTATGGTAGCATATTTTTATTTATACTCTCACTGACCACTTAATTATGATTACTTTAGAAGAACATATATATGAAGGTGGACACAAAAAGAAACTTACTAGAGTTGTGAGGGTCTCATGTAGATCTTCATTCCGCTTTATCTAAAAATTGGTGCATTGCTTACCTGGATGACCTCCAAGACCCCTCCCAGTGATTTTTCTGATTCTGTGTAAGAGTGAGGTTGTGATTATTAACAAAGCATCAAATATCAAAATCAAGCTTACTAGGTGTCTCTTCTTGGGGCAAGTAAGATAGAGAATCAAAAATAAACCTTTCACCAGTGTACAGATTTAAAATGGCAATTCATTTGAGAAATAGGAATAGATGAAATGACCTTGAACCTAGTTCCAGTAAATGATGTAGTTGGTCTCAGTCATGGGTCTGACACTCGCCATCGCCAGAGGGAGAAGAAATTCTCTAGCAGTGTACTTGTTGTAAGAGTTGAAAATGAGTCACTGAGTAGGTGATTGATCCCTTTCTATTTTCCACTTGCTGTCACCCACTTTTCAGCAAAATCAAATTTTGTTATGCTTAATAAAAGTTGTTGTTATTGTTTGGGTTTTTTTGCTTGTTTGTTTGTTTTGGTTTTAATTCCAAAAGCCCTTAGAGGTGAAAGAGAATTGTGAGATCAACATATTCACCTCCTTCCTTTTACAGATGAGTAATAAGGCACAAGAAAGGTAAAGGGACCTAGAACAAAATAGCCCTGTGTTACTTTGGTCAAGGCTTTTATTTTGTGGCAATTTTTTTTTTGTCATTAGACATGACCCTAATTTCAGACATTTATTTATTTATTTGTTTGTTTATTTATTTATTTATTTATTTATTTATTTATTTATTTTTATTGGGGGAACAGTGTATTTTTCCAGGACCCATCAGCTCCAAGTCAAGTAGTTGTTTCAATCTAGTTGAGGAGGGCACAGCTCAGTGGCCCATGTCGGGATTGAACCGGCAACCTTGGTGTTATAAGCACTGCGCTCTAACCAACTGAGCTAACCGGCCGCCCCTCAGTCTTTTATTGACATCATCACTTTTGAATGAAATTTTTAGTCTGGTATGTCTTTATTATTTGTATTTGATCCTTGACCATTTTCCAGACCAAGTACCATTTTCATGGGAGAAACATATCAATTAGGAGGCTTTGTGTTGTTGTTTTGTGCTCCAGATAACCACAATCCAGTCTTTAGGCTTTCACTAAAGGATTTTTTGTTTTTGTCTGGATATTGTAGGACATATATCTGCTCCAAAAGTTTTTATAGACAAAATGAGAATTTTATATATGCGTTTTTATTCAAACACATAGATAGATAGGTGGGCGGATGGATGGATAAATGGATGGACAAACTGAAAATATAGCTGCCGTATAAGTAAGCCTGTTGTGTATTAATGAATTATACAATAATTAGTTGTATTGTGGCCCTATAGACGTGTTCAGAGTGTGCTCAACAATACTGACCATACTGATCGGGAAGCATCCCAAAAAAGCGCTATGCAGGCTGGGTCTTAAACATCGCGGCTTCATATAGGTTGCTAATGAGGGAAGAGATGACATCCAGGGGCTAGACAAAGCAGGGCACGATGGGGCTCGCATGGGTTTAGCTTTATTGTGTGTTTGTGGGAGTGTATGAGCAGTGGGTGGGTGAGCCTGCCAGGGACAGAAGTCTGATTATAGGAACAGAAGCAGGTGTGAGAATTGTAGATTGGGGCAACACTGCAGAGTGCCTTAAATGCCAGACGAAACCATTTGCCCATTACCCTACAAGTCCTGAAGAACCCTTGCAATTTATTGTAAAGAAAATACCACAAGGAAAATAATACCAAAACGATTTTAGGAAGATAAATCCAGTGGGGGTATGATGGGTGGGTCATACTGAGGGGGAATACTGAAAGCAAGGAGAATCTGTTAGGGAATCAGGCATTAGGCATATAAGTGATGAGGGACTGAAATAGGATGGGAATGGGAAAAAAAGGAATGGGTAAGAGAGAGATTGCATGGGAAATGTGACAGGGTATATAAGACTTGGGGGGTAGGGGGGAGGGACTGCTGCCAGAGGAAAGTATGAAATTCTAAACCCAAATAAAGGATGCTAGGTGGAAAATCATGAAGATAAGCCAATTTGAGGGTGCGAGGTAGAAGATATGCCATTAAATTATTAGTCATGAAATTGAGGTGAGACTGCGTACTCATATGTGTCTAAGTAGCAACACCCTGTAGGCCTTCAGTTCTCAGGATGGGAATTCTGGTAACAGGACAGGACCTTACCTGGGGATTGCTTGTACAGAGTTAACAGTTGAGACCATAAGGCTCAGCTGTAAAATGGGAATAGTAATAGTACTCATAGGGTTGCTATTAGAAATAAATGAGGTAATGCCAGGAAAGTACTCAGTAATATCCTTTACACATACTAGACACTCAATAAGTACTAGCTATTATTATTTTTTACCCTGGGTTTTAAGGAAAGACAATTTTGTGAATTGTTAGAACTGGTATTCTCGAAGCTACATTAAAGCCACCTGCTTGGTGGGTTTTCTTAGTACCCCAAATGGAAGTTCATATGTTCTAATTCACTTACTTGCTACTAGCTGTTAAGGAAAAGTGGCAGCCCAAGCTGTCTTTGTTCATGTTTAGCTGTTGTTGACTATTTGTAACACCTAGAATGTTTTTGTTGGCTGGCAGGTTGGTTTGTTTTTACATAAACGGTTAAGGATACTAAGTACTCTTGTGTAACCTCTACAATAAAATCCCTGAGCCACATTTTGTTTTCATTTGCTGTGTCCAGAGTGAAATCAATTTTCGAGGGTTTATAAAGAGCTTTTGAAGAATGGTATTAGGTCAATGCAAGCTAATTACCATTAGCTTAATCTTAACATTAGATCAAGGTTTTAAAACTACATTCACCCAAAGTGGAACAGACTTACAGAACACTGGAAAAAATCCCAAAGAGACAGACTATTAATTATAAAGAGTTGTAGGGCTCCTGTCTGGGTAGAAGTTTGGACTAAATGTCATTAGTGGAACTTTCCCACTTGGATAGATTCCACAGTATCAAAGAATTTTAGTGTGTTTGATGATCCCATTCCATCTAACATGTGTGATCGAATTGCTGTTTAGATTCACATTTAGAAGGTCAAATGAAGCAGAGTTTTTTTGTTTTAGTTTGTATTTTTTTTTCCTTTTCCTGTCACTTTTATTCTCAGAAGCAAAATGTTTATGTTCTCCCATCTTAAGGTTATAAATTTAGTTAGGTACCCTAGAAGAATAAATGTCAAGATGGTTAACAGCCATTTGTATTGAAGTGTGAAGAAAAGTGAGTTCAATAATTTTTTTAGCTATGTTTTCAGGTCTGAGTTATTTATTAGAAGAAACATAGGTACATGTTACTTTATAGACATTTAGATACATCAAATTGGTTTTTCCAGTATATTTGTGCCAGTAATTCAGCCCCAAGATGTAAGGACAATCACACCTAATATAAAAATTTTTTAAAAGGGCTATTTTGATTAATAATGATCACTGTAGAGTTAATGATGATTATCTAACCCATGCTCTATTTTATGGATAACAATGTATACTTAAAATATGGCAAGATTTCCTTTTCCAGCAAAATGGCAACATGCATCTAATTTGAATTGCAGAAGAAAAGAATGTAGAGAAGGGGGAAGACGGAATATTCTGGGAGTCCAGGGAATCCCAAGCAAGAAAAATTTTAAAAAGAAATGCACATCTAGAGATTTCCTAGAGAAACCACAGAAATAGATAGATCTCAACACTGCCAGAGATCAGAGGCAGATTGTCTAGAAAGAAACACTTAGATTGACAGGTGTTTAATTTGTGGGAGGGAGCAGTGTCATCTGATTGGAAGAAATTAAATCACATCTGAAACCATAGCTGCAAGGGCCTCTGGGATGTGGAGTTTTTAATGATCTAGCCTGTGCAGTGCAGGAAGGCACACTAAAAGGAAGTTGGGTGGCTCCTGCACTTGCTTGTTTACCTTCTGTCTCCCCAACACTAACATGTAAGCTCCTTCAGAGCAGATGATTTGCTGGCTGAAGTATCTGGAACAGTAGCTACAGGATAGTTGGTGCTAATTAAATATTTGCCAATTGAAAGGATTATCATCATAAACTTATTGGTACTGGGCTTCATCCCCTTGGTCCAAAGTCACCTGTAGGATTATACCTACATTTTCCTTTGGAGATTGGAACTTGGTCCTTAAGCCTACAGGGATGTCTTTCCATTTGTCAGGCCGTTGCATTCTGAGAAGCTTATCCCTATTTGTTTGATATCTCCATAATCATTTCAGTTGGCATCAGTGATTCTAATAGTTTGCAGACAAACCACTGATTGTGTAAGCTATTGGGTAGCTATATCACTGCAGGAACCTTAATGCAGCTGTTTAATCAGATTGTTTTCCTTATGACAAGTTTCTGTGGTTCTGGTCACAATATAAACCGCTTATTGGGCTCCTGACATCTGCTTCATACTGTGCTAGCTTACCTTCCTCAACTCCAGCTCCTTCCGCGCAACCCAGAGAGACCTTAAAGAACTTGCTGTAGATTGCAGTGCTCGTAAGAGACAGGGCCAAGGTTTGAACTCAGGGGAAGCTGACCAAAGAAACCTGTGCTCTGTTCACAGTGGTACTTCTCAGAATTCTCATACTCTTCTGTCACTGTTGCAAATGAAAAAAGAAATCCCATCATTGCACCATTTTTAATTGTGTTTATGGTTGCCTTTAGTCAAACCTCCATTCCTAAAATGTTCAAGGAAGCATAGTACTTTAATACAGATATTGCCAACTTGAGTGCTAGATTCTGATTTGGGTTCTGTTTTGTAACCTTGCTTAGGCTTTCACATGACTACTTTGCTGTGAATAGAGGATTTAAAATGTAGATTATTTGTTGATGCCCCTTCTTTTGGGCTATTCTAAAAATATCTTAAAAGAGTTTGATGAAAGTGGTCTATTCTAATATAATGTCATTAGAGTATTTGAAAGTTTTGAAAGTTACTCCGTATTCAAAACTTAACTATCTGGTAGCTTTCCTTATCCAGAATCCTGTGAAGAACCAGGGGTGGAAGGTGTAAAATGTCCCTCAAATGTTAAAAAAAAAAAAATCATGTATTAAATTTTTTCTTGTGCTTAATTCATAGACTCTTCTTATTCATCCTCCTCCAAATCTCTACCTCCCCCAACCTTCTTCATCTCAGTAAATGGCCAAATATGCATTTAAGTGAGAAGTCGAGGAGTTGATTCTTTTTTTTTGTTCTTTTTTTTTTTTTTTGAGGAGTTGATTCTTATCATCTCTTCACTTCCAGTGTTTAATTCTTGTTAGCTCTTCCTCAGGTGCTCCTTCTTCTCTTCTGTAGGTTCTTGCTCCTCTATAGGCCATCCTCTCCAGAGACAACTGTTTAAAATGTAAATCATATCTTCTTATTTTCTGGTCAGAGCCTTCCCGTGGTATCCCATGCCCTCTTGAAGGCTTACAACAACCTACATGATCTTGACCTTGGCCGACCTTGACCTACCCCAAATCCCATCCTATATCCCTATTCCCTCATGCTGGCTATATTCCTTCAGCCCATAGAATGCTTTCCCTCAGATCTTATGGTTGGCTCTTTCTAGTGATTAGGGTTTCATCTCAGATATCACCTTCTCAGTGCAGCTTTTCCTGACTATTCACAGTATCGTGTTACCCCCCTTTTGTTTCATTCAGCATGTTTGTCACTCATGTTTTTTGTCTGCCCTTTTTTTTTTTAATCTTTTAGCCCCAAAAGTCCAAGGATTACATAAGCAGGGAATGCTTCTGTCTTATTCATTACTGTTTCCCCCATGCTGACACATAGCAGCTGTTTAATAAATATTTGTTGAGTGAATAAGTGAATAACCACTCTAAAAAAATAATCATCTGATACGTAAAGCCCATTACTTTCCACAAGAATTTTCCATGAAACCCTAGTAATTTTGTTTGTTTTTGCTTGTTAACAAAGGTGAAGGGAGCAAAGA